ACCCACATAGTGCCGGGTCTAAAGAGGGAAGGTGAGAACTCACTGCTGGCAAATTCCTTGAAAGCAGAAACTCTTGACTTAAACACATTATCTCTACATGCCCTATGTCTCCCTACCCAGTGCTTGATGTCTGACTAGACTGTTAGTGGCCCGGAGGCTTGCGTGGAACTAGTAAATAAGAGCAAACGGGGCTAATCGCTCAGTCCTTTCTCTCACCGTAAGCACTTGGGGTCCAAACATCTGTTTGGCTCTGTCAGCTGCCATGAGGGTGCCTGGGCGACTGTGCCCTCCAGGGCTCCCTAGAGAGGCAGAAGGGCTTCATGATGCTGAAATGGGAGACTACCACCTCCCAGAGGGCCCATCTGTCTGGTTCTCACCCTGCATGCTGAGGAGGTGAGTTCCTGTGTGAACCGTCAGGCCCTGTTGATATGCAGCTGATGTGAGAGTGGTCAGGTCACTGGAGTGAAAGGAAAGCAGGTCAAAGTCACAGACAGGTGCCCCCTCTTGCCACTAAATACCAGTTCTTTTGTTACTTGATCCCAGTTCCTCTTTGCCCATTTTTATTTTTAGCTCTGTGATCCCACCTCTGCTCCTTTCGCCTCCGTTTTTCTTCCTCATGTAAAACTTTCTTCAGCTGTAAGAAAAGCTGGTGCTTCTCCTCTTGTAGGGCCAAAAGTTTCTCCTGCAACTTCAGAATCTGGGAATGGAGCAGGCAGTAGATGAGGGCAGGGAAAGCCAAAGGAAGAAGTCTACGCTGGGAGGGATCAAGAGACTGCTGACTGCTTACTTGTTCCTTGGTCTCTTCCAGTGACATTCTCTCTTCCATTTCCTTTTTCTTCCTTCTCTCCTGCTCTTCCTTCATTTTCTGTTCCATCATCTTATCTACCTCTTCTTCCTCTGGAGAATCAGGGAGGAATGGGGAAGTGGCAGGATGGAGAAAATAATTCAAACGTTGAGACACTGAAGACCAGCAAAAAACCCTGTTATCCCGACACACCTGTTATCGGTGATGGCCCCTCCTCCCGTGAGGGGATAGGCTTCCCCATGGCTGCAACAGGACTGGGAGAGGCCGACTTTATCAGGTGCTCTCCAAGGTCCTTCCCAAGCTCCAGACCTGGGCCCAGGCCTCTCAAACTCCCACCACCTGACTGTTCCTCCCCTTTGGACCTTGGCGGCGGGCGCTGGGGTCCGCTCGTGGGTGGGAGCCAGCCCTGGGATAGCCGCCCTGGGCCGGGTGCCCTCCCGCTTTGGCCCCCGCTCACCCTGCCGCTTGCGCTCCCGCTCCATCATGATGTGCCGGTGCAGCGCCCTGGCCATGGCGTTGGAAAGCTTGGGGCGCTCCAGGAGCGCCGGCATGGTGCTGCCGGGGACGCTCGGGCTGCGGGCGCCCGGCTCTGTCACTGACTGCCAGACCTCGCACGGGGCCTGCGGAGAGGCGGGCGCTCAGGAGGGCCCGCGCCC